CTCTTGTATTACTTGCTGTGTATTTGCTGGGAGCATTGTAGCTGATTACTGATTGCCTTCTCTATATTTCTTTGCCTAATGATGTCCTTTCAAGCCTTTCTATTGTCCCAAACCTTAGTGGGAACAAAGAAATGTATGCTCTGTAATGTTACCTTTTTATTAAAACCCGAGGGTGCAATCCAGGTATTCATAATGCTCGCTAAATTTACAGTCTGATGTTGCATTTTATTTAGCATGAAAACCCATTTAGTTAGGTCCCGCATGACAAGAAAACCAAAACATCTCTTAAGATTTGTGTCATTATCTAAAACTGAGATTGACATCTAGTGGAGAGGTCTGCAGGTGTGTGGGTGGAATTGGCAGGTGAACAGCACATTGCAGAATGAGTGAGCGTGCACGTGCACCCAGGAGCAACACACAAGTTGGCGTATGATTTCAGTGAATGACTAGAACAAACAGATTTTATTTTTTTTTACAGCAGCCAAATGTTATAAGTAGTCTTTCTTGTATGGCTTTACTCACATCCTTACATACTTTTCCCCTCATGTCATCGCTTTAATACCTATCACCTACTTAACAAGGCAGACAAAGTGGTCATATCAGTGAGAGCACAGTCACTGGAGTGGCACGACTGCACACCACTCTAACCCGCTGTTGGAAATACCATTGAGATCCCAGAGCTCCCTGTGTGTGGTCAGGGGGCCCCACGAGTCCATCCGTGCACATCTGTTTGGGCATCGGGACGCATGGCAAGACCTTGCACCTACTATGAAGTTCAGTGCAGGCTGAGGGCTCCATCCCTCTGTGACTGAAATGTTATGAGTTGTTAATTTTGTGTTAGAACACAAAATGGCAGCAAAAACCATACCTCCCCACCCCAGGGGCTTGATTGAATAGTGTCTTTTGGAAGGTAGCATACTGAAGTTTTTTTTGTCCCCATGTACTACAGGGTGCCAGTAGGGTTGCAGTCTTCTTTTTTTTTTCTTTTCTTTTCTTTTTTCCTTTTTTTTTTTCTCTTTTTTTTTCTGTAAATCATCAGTGCTTATCTGCTCCTGGTGGACAACTGGGAGATAAGTCAGGTTGACCTGTTGGTTAAAAAACCCTCCCCAAAAGCCTTCGAACTAGTTTTAGCTGTTGCTTTTCTTGTAGCATGCTTTTACACTTAGTTTAGTGAGGCTGGCCTATTACGCGCGCCCATATGTTGTTTGGCTGTGTTCTTAACTGCGGTTTGAATGGTTTTAATTTTATCTTCCTTGTTCACTCAGTGAAACAGATAATAGGAATCGGTAACACTTGAGATGCACTGGTCTGTGGCTTCCTGGTGGGAAACAAGATGAGTCACCCATAACCAAAACCAGCAGCCACCCTGTCCCTGGAATCAAATTTGTTCCTCTCAGCCTAATTTTTAAATACTTTCTCCTCTGGCTTCCTCCCCGGCACCACAGCACATCTTGCAGACTGCAAGGCTCAGAGGAAAGAGGTAGATAGCAGCAGCAGTGCATGCAATAAGCCCAGAGAAGTGGCACTACCAGTGATGGATTTGGGCGTGCAGACCACGTGCTTCACCAGCTTGTGCATCTCTGATGACAGCTAACAGCAAGATGGGGCCAAGGGTTTGTTACAGAGGCAGCAGAGAGCCTGCCTCTGAGGTTTCTTTGGTGCTCGTGCGGGGTTCTGGACGTGGCAGGGTGACTGCCTGCTCCTGTTGTTACTGTGCGGCCTCCCAGTAGCATGGAAATCACTCTTATTACCAGATGAAATGATAGAGTAGTACAGAAATAAATAAGCTAAAACCAACAACAGTCCAAACATTATTATATTGTTAGCAGGTTTAGAGGGAAGGATAAAGAAAAGAAAGAAAATCGTACACAGATCTACCTATAGTTTAAATCAATTATAAGAGCTTTCTCTTCTTTGTCCAGGAAAAACCAACAGGATGCCAATGCAACCTAATGGGTATGAAAGCCCAGCGTCACGATATTGTGAGTATTGCTTTCACAGAAGAGAGTTCTTATTTATTCATTTATTTCATTAACAAGTCTCTTCATATACCCAAGCCCTCTCTGGGATTCTCTTTAGAGTGAAGCCTCTATGCAGTTCCAAGATCTCCCGTGATGTATAACTTTATCAGGAGATAAATCTTAACACTCCTCTTAGACTCTCTCTCTTTAAATTTTGGAAATGCTGACATTCTTCAGGCATATTTAAGTGGAGCTGTACTTCATCCAGACACTGAACAGAACCTGGAAATGATAATCGCGGTGATTAAAAGGTAAAGGAATTTATATATCTGAGAAATTGTTCTTTCTTTCAGGTGCCAGTATGTTAGGTTTCAGCTTGTCTCTTCCAGGGATATCTCAGATAGGAAAGGAACAAGAGTACCAGGAGTACTGAATGTAACCTTTGTTTCTTTTTCCTGGCATAGATCAATATACACATAGCACTTTCTGACCATGTGTATGAGTATGCTTTTTATTTTTTTTACCGTCTTCCTTCTACATACCCAAAGTATCCCATATTGCTGCCATTATACTTTTCTATGACCTTCAAAGTGCGTAAATCTTCACAGTGAGGGTGACGGAGCGCTGGAACAGGCTGCCCAGGGAGGTTGTGGAGTCTTCTTCTCTGGAGATATTCAAGGCCCGTCTGGATGCCTACCTGGGTAGCCTGCTCTAAGGAACCTGCTTTGGCAGGGGGGTTGGACCCAATGATCTCCTGAGGTCCCTTCCAACCCCTACAATTCTGTGATTCTGTGAAATCTTTGAGTCAAAATTATCTTGTAGTTTGGTTAATCTCTGAAGATGGTGTGTATGGCCTGAAAATCTGAATATAAGAACTTAATTTTAAACTTAATTAAAGCTTAAAAATTTAAATGTTTTGAGAAAAATATAATGACCCATTGATTCCTGTCAGAAATCAGAGAAAGAAAACTTGAAAATATGAGAATTATATATATATATATTGGCAGTAGTTAAACTAGTCATTTTCAACCTGTTCAACCAACTTGTGGGGATTTGAGTCAGACACGCATTTGGCATTCTGAAGAAGTGGCAGAAATCCCTTCAAACCAAGATTGGCATTAAAAACAAACAAACAAAACCAACAAAAGAGCACCTCCAGTCTCTAGTACGCGGGGCTTTGTATCTACAAGCGTGATCATGTCCACTACAGAACTTGTGATAGATTGCACCAGTTCGTAAGGGACCATGTACGGTAGAGGTGCTCTCAGGGAAAATTCACTGTGTTGTTACCACAATAAAGGATTGGTTTTCTGCGTGAAAGTAAACAAAAGTAGTCTGCTTAATCTACTCTTCCACATCTTTCCTTTCTAGAGGCAATTTTTTCCACTCTATAGGTACTGCATAGATACGGTTACTTGACGGGTGATTTTGTTATGCCTTGCAAAGTTTTCCATGTGTTGTGGATATTACTTTGCCCACGACAAGAATCTCTGCCTGAAGTGAGCGACTTCTTGTTTTCCTTGAGAAGTCATTGAAGGGAACGGAGCCGAAGCATGTCAAACTCATTTGTTACGAAGCACGCACACATTACCGGGACACACTGGGAAACGGGGCGCTTGATTCCTGATTGCAAACCACGGTTTGCAGACTGGAAATTGGGGTTCTCCCAGTTTGCCAGTGAAATGCAGATTAGAGTTGACTGTGGTGATGATTAAGCCTGTGAGCTTTGGATGATATTTGCAACTTTCAGGACAAGCAGCCCCCGGACATATCACCCTGATTATTGGAAGCTGTTCTTTCCTGTATTGTTTGATACTTCTTTGGCTCCCTGCTGATTAATCCAACATATGGTTGCTAAAATTATCTCTCACTGCTGTTTTTTTCTCCCTTTTGCAATTCATCCTCTGCTTCCCCATTTGCTGCCTCACCTGCTGACCCCAGCTCAAGCTGAGGGCCTTGGCCCTTGTGATCTTCACAGCGTGGCCTCCTTGGCCCTGGGTTGCAGGAGCAGCACCCTGACAGCTTCCCATCTCCTGCTGGTGGCCTTGCACCTTCCCTTCAGCTTGCTGCTGGACAGAGGTGAAGCCAGAAAGGAAACCACCTCAGCTTCAGAAGCACATTTGAGTCCAGTGCTTAAGGTGAGTAAGAGAGCTCATGGCGTTACCCACTCCCTGCTACATCTCCTGTTCCTTTTTGGCTCACGTGTACAGCGAGGAAGGGAAACTCTTCAGAGTCCCTCACGGATGGGGACTGAAACTGCAGATGTGAATTTGTAGAAATGGGGATTCTCTTATTTTCCCTGTGGTGACGGTGTGCGTCAACATTTTGGTGTTTAAACTTATTCATGACTTGTGGCTGTTGGGCTTGTTGCCACCCGGTTCGGGCACAGCTGAGGGTCAGGTTCCCCCAGGGTGTCCCAGCCCTGTGTCCCAAGGGGGGTGACGGAGATACGGGGACGGTGACAGGGAGAGGGCTGGTGACAGGAGGCTGGATGGCGTTACTGGGGCTGTCACCAGCCCCGAGCTGGACAGCACCTGCGGCTGAGCGCTGCCTTCCTTCTGCGAGGCGCGGCCGAACCCTGCCTTGGGTTCGTGCCTGTGGGGCCGTGCCCAGAACGGGGTTTTCCAGTCTGGCAACATTTTTTGGAGATGTCACAAAATTTCTCATTCTGCACGGGACAAAATCGAGCCTGGAGCCTACCCACCCCCCCCCACCACACACACACACCGTGCTGTGCCCACCCTGCCTTCAGCACCGGCTGCGGAGGGAGGAGGGGACCTCGGGCTGGCTGCTCTCCCCTCACCCCAAAATTTGGGGAGGGGAGGGGGAGGGATAAGGGGCATTTTGGGGGGGCCGCAGCGCATTATCCCGGCAGGGGGCGGTGTGGGCTGGCGAGCCGGGCTGTGCCGAGCCGGGCGGGGCGGGGAGGGGAGAGGAGGGGAGGGGAAAGGAGGGGAGAGGAGGGGAGGGGAAGGAGCACAGCCGCCCCTCCCCCGCTTCCTCCTCCTCCTCCTCCTCCTCCTCCCTCCCCCGCGCCGGCGGCCCCGCGCCCGGCCGCCAGAGCCAGACTCGCCGCAGACAGGCGGCAGCCAGCGGGGCGGGCAGGGCGGGGGGAGGAGGAGGAGGAGGAGGAGGAGGAGAGGAGGAGGAGGCGGCGAGGCTGGGGATGAGTTGGAGGCAGCCGCGGAGCCAGCCCCAGCGCACCGAGGGAGGCTGCCGGGGGCGGCGGGCGCCCCGTCCGCTCGGCGGGGGCCGGGGGGAGGTGAGTGCTGGGGGGGCACCGGGGGGTGGCCCCCGGGGAGCTGATCGAGGCCGGAGCGCCGAGCTCTCTCCGAGGTTTCAGGGTCTTGGGGTTTCAAGGTCCCGGGATTTCGGGGTCCCGTCTGCCCCCCCCCCCCCCCCCCCCCCTCCGGCAGAGGCCGCGCTCCGGGCAGGCAACTTTGGCAGGAAGAACAAGGAGCGGGGGGGCTGCCGCCTTGGCGCACAAATGACCTATATTTGACAAAGTGCCTCTCTTCTCCCCCCCACCCCTCCCTTTTTCTTTTTTTTTTTAAAGTTTATTAGCAGAAGTGCAGCTCTGCTCGCCTTGGCTGCGTGCATCCCGCATCCCCGAGCCGGGCTCACGGCGTGTAGGTGGGCGCCGCCGGGGGGAGGCTTCACCGGGGGATAAACAGGAAACAGGCAAAACGCTAAAAGTAACTTTTTTATTATTATTTTTTTTTCACTTGGAGGTACACCTTCTTAACTGGGTGCCCACAGCCGTGAAGGCTGTGCGGGGATTTTCCCCTCCAGGAAGGTTCAGAGCCTTTTGTGAGCCGCAAGTGATGGCTGTGCGAGGGAGCAGGGAGCTGGTGAATGATTTTATACGCCGCTAGAAATAGCGTTTGGTGTCGTAAAAGTTTTATTGATTTGAAACGTGGCTGTCTTCCTGGCAGGAAGGAAAACGGAGGGGTTGATCTGTTCTTGCAAAGAGAAAAAACTTTTGCATTAAACGTGTGGGGAATGGGAAGGTGCACCACACCACGTAGCATCAGGAGTGTGCAGCGCCTTCCGTCTGAGGCTAGCTGAGGAGGGAGAGAGTTTTCATCAGTAGGAAAGCCTGAGAGGCAATTACCGGTAGGCACAGACGAGGTAAGAACATAGATGCTGCCTAAGTACAGTAATGTGCCTTGCTTTCTGGGAAGCGCCTTTGGCTTTTCATCCCTCAGCCCCTGAGTGGTGTTTGCATGGCAAAACTTGTGTTCTGCCTCCCCGCATCGCTTCTTGGGTGAGGCTCGTAGGAAACGTGCTCCTTGCAACAACCCAGAATTGGTTAATCCACGGGCGATGCACTGTTGAGTAGCGATGAATAACTGTGCGTGTGGTGCACACGTGTATGGTCCCGCTAATGAGAATATAAATATTAGGGCTTCGTGGCTGGAAGCACCAGGGGAAGGTCGGCTGGGAGGACAGCACGCTGGTGGGAAGCACTCTTGGGACCGACCTCCCCGCATCCACGCTCGCTGAATAGCGATGGTGCTGTCCCCATCCATGTCTGTGCCGGAGCGGTAGCACCAGGTATTAAGTTACTGCGATACATAAAGCGAGCAGTGTGAGGAGGACTGACATCGGAATGCGCCAAGTATGCGGTTATGTGTAGAAGTAAAATTACTCCTTTTTAGCTATTCTGCGTTTATATCAGCTTATTTAATTCTGATTCTTGGGTACGTGAAGACCATTGCTGCATACACATAAAGCACATTGGTATTCGCCAGTAAATTAAGATGCCCGCACAGGCCTAAATGATGATAAATGCGTAACACAGAGTGAGTTAACAATGTGAGACAGTATATTACAGACCATTGGGTTATGTTAATTGAAACATTACAGGCACTAGGCAGCGTTTGGCTGATGAAGCTTGAGTACAGCCTTCGATGGAAGCTGCAGGAGTAGAAGGAAATTGGGATTCAAGATTGAGGCATAGCAGAATTACATTTAGTGAGATGCAAATCATTGAGCAGTAGTCTAACCTAACAGTTTAGAGATAACCCGTCCCTTTGTGATTTTTAAGCAGGTAAAATGCTGTTTTCTCTGCGTAGGACCATTAAGGCGAGACCTGAAAAGATGGGTTGTAGTTAGTTTTCTGCTCGCTGAAGGTACCGCGTCTGTTTTTATTTATTTATTTATTTATTTTTGAATGAGAATGAAGTTTTCCCTCTAATTTTCTTGTCCAAACTTTAGTTCTTTTTTTTTTTACAGCTGCCCTGCAGTACTCTCTCTAGCGGCTGCTACCCTACCACCAAGAACTGGTTGCGCTTGAGTGATGCTGTCTAAAATCATTTGAGAGTACTTTCAGGATATGTAAATCAGAAATAAGTAAATTATTATTAAAAAAAAAAAGTGTCTGAGAGATTGTATTGAATTAAATTACTTCTGAGAGAACTGAAGTGCTAAAAAACATGTGCCTGCCCACCAACTCTTGTATTGGTGGAAATGGTTCTTGCATTTAACTTACGAGTGGCCTTGGAAAAGTTTTTTTTCATTTTCTTTTTCTTCCGTCTCTGGTTTCTAATGGTTTAAAACAGCTCCTTGCGAATGAATTGCCAGTTAGGAAATACAAATACTTCTAGGAGTATGGAGACGAATATCTTTGCAGATTGGTTCTGTGGTAACCGTGAAATTCTTCAATGGCACCAAGCTAGTATCAGCTGCTCGTTAAAGGCACTGATGCCAGAACAGTGGTGCATCAGTTGCTGGGAATCCAACCCTGTAGTGAAATGATTCATACATACACATTTTCTTTTCTCAGTTGACAGCTATTTTTAAGAATAGCCGTCTTGCCTAGAAGGTTGATGTCTAAGCAAAGGCAGCCTAGATAGCTAAAAATTTCTTTCCCACCAAACATAATCTTATTTTTGCCAGACTTCTAATATGTACACTAAAACATTTAAATGGAATTGGTTTTAATTGACTTCTTGTTAGGTCTCTGGTGCTAATTAGTCATTATAAGGGGATCATGATATTTTGGAACTGCTGTCAGGAAACCAGCAAGTTTTTGTACAAATCAAAGTGATGAGTTTGAAGTAAATGTCAGTTTAAAGGAATTTCTCTGTAAAAATGGATAGTGGTGTTTAAATGATAGCAGAGGACTCGATTAGCTGCATAGCTTCGTGCAATTAATGGGATTCTCTGGGTACCTAAGTCTGCAGAAATAGTCTCAGAACAAAATAATGACACGTTTGTCCAGTGTCCTTCAACTTTTTCTGTGTGCTGTGCAGGCAGAACGTTCCAGTGAAGGAAAGCTGTTGACCTTTTTTTTTCTTTTTTTTCTTTTCTTTGCATTCTTCTGAACCATGTATTTGAAAGAGAAATATAAGTTATTTATTTTAGAGAGGAGTTTTACGTGCTTGCTTCTGAGACTGTCAGTTGAGTGATAGTAACTGTAAGGGGACTGCAGTAGAAAGGAAGCGTGCAAGTTCGAAAGAGTGATCACAGCATTACAGTGTTTTCTGTTCTTCATGCTGGCAAAATGTCTCTGTATTCATTATCTATATTTATTTAATGTATGCATTTCAGTAGCATATGCCTTGATTTAGCATATTTGGAATATGCTAAATGTAGGTGCATTTTGCTAAATGCTTTTTCTTATTGTTTAGTTAAGCGATGGAGATTTGCAAGTACCCATATCACCATTCGTTATCACTCAGCATAATAGTAGGTAAATTTAATCTTCCTGATTAAGATTGTTTTGGTCACAAGAGACAAGGGAGTGAAAATGAATCATTTTCTTGATGTTGTGCTGGGTCTGTGCCGTTCATATCTGCCTTTCTTTTCTCTAAAATCCTATTACAGACAGTACTCTGACCTTTTAAATGATCTTGCTCTCCATCAAACTTTTCTTTCAGATAGGAGACAGAAATTAGGAAGAACCTAAATGCAATTTCTCTTCTTATTGCCAGTGGAGAGCTTTCCTAGATTTGAATTAAGCTTTCTTTGTGCCAAATGGTTGACTTTTCTTGAATAAAATCTCTTTAGGGTATGCAGAAAGTCCTCTGGTTAATATATTGGCATTCCCAGAACCCACTAAAACTTAGGCAGGTTGCCAGACACCACTTAATGAGGATGCCTAATGTCTGGCACAAATCTGCATGAAAACCAGCAAAGAAGTTGGGGGTGGAAGCGAGTGCAGTGGGGAGAGGGCTGGGAAAGCAACGTGTCCACACCCACTGGTTATTTTTTCATGTCTGCATTTTGCAGATACAACTGATCAGAAATCTTCTCTGCTGGATTTTGGAAACTTGCAGGGCACGACTTTGGACGTTCCCCATCGAGGTAGCTATGTGGTGGGGATACGTGAACTGCAGCTGCCAGAAGAGTTGTGTGCAATGTGAACCTGTGGCGTGGTTCTGCCTGATGCGACTGTGCCTAGGTTTTGCTGCATGTTAAGCAGAAGTGCAGGTATAGTAGACTTTTTGACCTGATGGCAAGATACCTTTAAAAAAAAAAAAAAAGAGTTCAAGCTGAGATATTTTTCCATTATAGTGATGTTAGAAGCATAATATATTATTTTGTGTCGAATCAAATGCTTGGCCCTGAGGGTTGGAACTGATAAACCAAGGTCAGCTATATTCTGACCTAAACATTATATCAGACATTTCAAACATAAACATTTTCAGCACTTTTCCCAGGCTTTAGTCTCTCCCTTGCTCAGTGAAAAAGCAGTAGTCCTATATAGACATCTTTAAAGTAGATAAGCATGTATATAGGCAATTTTAAAGTAGGTAAAAAAGTAGGCTCATAGGCATGATTGAAATATTTTATCCAAATTACTTCTTTTAACTCCAATGGGAGGATTTATTGATGTTTGTTTTTGCATGTTACTGAATTCAGAAATGCATGTGCTTGTTACTCATTTTCCAGTGTAAGTTTCAACTGTGCAGTTTTGGGGAGCTGTTCTTAGGAGGAATTTTGCTCGCTAGAGTAATAGCAAGTTTCTCAAGCATGCATTTTGATAGGACTAAATTATAATTTCCTGGTTGGTTTCACTAAGATGAGGCAATACATGAAAGTTTTAAAGTCTTTGAACTTTAATTGCAGTGGAAAAAGGGACAAGTGTATGGAGTCTTTGGAGAGTTGTATGGGAATCTTTGAGTAGGGTGTTACAAAATTTTAACTGTGTTGACACTAATTCTTAGGTGTCTATAAGGTGGAGGAAACAGTGCTGAAAGTGGTGGACAATGTGCCCACATTTTTGAACCAATATGTTTATGATTAGTACAGGAA